TAGTATATATATATATATATATATATATATATATATATATAAGTTTTGCGAGCTCATAAATCAAGGAACGTGATTCTTAATGCATTACACTACTTGTTTTATTTTGAGAGGACTTCTCTTTTGTAAACTAGAGTGAAAATTGCATTTTCTACTCTAGGGATTGAGCTCAAAATTTGCAATTTGCGTAGTTTGAGAGCTCATAAATCAGTGAACGAGATTCCTCATCGAAGTACACTGGTTGTTTTATTTTTCAAACACTTTTTTTTGTAAAATGGGGAGAAATATGCATTTCCTATTTTTGGGTTGAGTTCAAAAATCGCAAACTGCGTATTTTGCGAGCTCATAAATTATGGAACGCGATTTCCCAATGAATTACGCTGGTTGTTTTATGTTGCGAGTACTTTTTTCTTGTAAATAGGGTAAAAAGTGCATTTCCTACTTCGGGAATTGTGCTCAAAAATCGCAAACTACGTAGTTTGCAAGCTCATAAAGCAGGGAACGTGATTTGGTAATGAATTACGCTTGTTTTATTTTTTAAGTACTTCTCTCTTGTAAAATGTGGTGAAAAGTGCATTTCCTACTTCGGGAGTTGAGCTCAACCATCGCGAATTGCGTATTTTGCGAGCTTATAAATCAGGGAACGTGATTTCTCGATGAATTTTGCTGGTTGTTTTATTTTGCTAGTACTTCTCTCTTGTAAAATGGGGTGAAAAGTGGAATTTATATTCCGGGGATAGATTTCAAAAGTCGCAAACTGCATATTTTGGAATGTTTTATAAAAAGAAACAACATTTAGTAAAGAACTAATTTGTTTGTCTTAGTTTTAGAGGACTTCTCTTTTGTAATTTTGGGTAAAAAGTGGAATTTTTTCTCCAGGGTCGATGTGTATAGGTCGTAATGTGTGTATTTTGTTTTTTGTAAATGTTCTTGTTATATTCTCCGTGCTACTTTTTCTTTTGTGTATAGGAAAGAGTAGGTTTTCTCTTGCAAAAATACTTTCGGGGTAGTTTTGCGTCCTTAGTGGTGGAGCTCAAAAATCTAAACCAAGGTTAATTAAGAGCTCATAATTCTGGCGCAAAAAGCAGATCGATTTCTGCAGTTTTAAGTAGTGGGGGAGCGCAGTCCAAAGGGACTTAGCCCCCCCCCACAGAAAACTTGGAATTCCTGCTCCGCAAAACGAGCTCAAAATTTTTAAGTTAGTGGGTTCAAAAGCTCATAAATAGCTACTAATTCTGCAACAAGTTTGAATCGATTCGGACAAGGTGGGGGGGCTAGATCTTGAGGGGTAGATTCTATTGTAGAAATATCAGAAGGGGAAGGTTTGAATAGTTAGAATAATATTTTATGTAATTGTAATATATACACTTATATATATATATATAAGTGTAACAAAATTAAGTGTAAAATAATTTGATATAATAAAAAAGAAATATAAAAACCAATTAGCGATATAAATTAGGTAGACGCTTCATTTAATTGAATAAATATACGTTTAATATGTATATACTCGTTGTCCTACTTATTTACTTCTTTTGTATAAACTTAAAATTGCGCTAAGAAATATCACATAAAAATAAATTTTTGAAATTAATATCGAGCATAACAATGTTTCATTAATATTGTGCATATCCAAACGCGGTTTTCTTATGTTACGCGGTAGAATTTGACGCAATAAGAAAAGTCACACACTCAGTATATTTTTCATTAAATTTGACTTAAATTTGTTATTTCTATAACAATATATTTATTACTATAACAATATATTTACAACACGTATATATATGGATTTAATCAGATGTAATTAAAGCGTCTGTCTAATGTATCAATAATTGGTTCGTTTGCCGTCGTTTGATACTCGCTTGTTAATATATTGAGAATTTTTGTATTAAGCTTTTGTATTTACAGTATAATACGGGGGCGGAACTGTAAATGTTGCGCAAGAAAATAGTAGTAAACAAGACGGCACCAACAACGAGCGCAGCGACGACACCGTCGAGCGTTACACCGGCAGCAGTGCTACTCCCGCCATCTCCGACAGCGCCGCCGAGAGAAGCAACAGCGACGACATCACCGCCGAGCGTTACACCGGCAGTGCTACTCCCGCAACCTCCGACAGTGCTGCCGATGACGAGAGAAGCGAACAGATCGGTGAAAATAATAATAATTATACATTTATTGTATTACGGACGGAAAACGCGCATAAATTTAAGAACTTCGGGGTAAGAGGGAAAGAGGCGACATTTGAGATCCGCGAAATTCAACCTAGTGCTGAAATAGTAGAATGGGTAGAGGGTGCATTTTGCGAAATTTACAGATACGCGACAAATTTATCGGAGCCGAATGATTACGTTGGGGTGTGGTTCGACTCCCCGACTTTGACCAACAGTGCAGCTGGTCTTTCTTTTCGTCCTGCGCGTGACTTGACTCACGAGAATATTTGGTCTCTCGTGAGTTTGGTTGCGCAAAGTAACGGAAGGATAGATATCTCTACGTCATTTACGATACGCGTATGCACCGTCCACTCTCCGTCGAGCAAAGGAGGCCGTCCTTTGGGCGCGGAAGGAATCGAGAAACGCTCGATTCTTTCAATAACGAATAGCGACAACCTCTGTTTCACTCGCTCACTCGTTGCCGCACGGGTATACCTTGAACGAGGTAACACCCGCAAGGGCGAGCTACATGAGCGATGGAATGCAATGAGACGTTCGAACTCCTCCTTACAACGCCAATGAGCACTAGAGTTGGTGGAGAAAGCAGGCGTCACAATTCCGGAGGAGGGTTGTGGTATTGGGGAAATTGAGCAATTTCAACGGTACCTTGCCGGGGAGGGGTTAGCTATAATTGTTTACGCCTCGTCTACTTTCGCGAAAAGCGGAAAACCGTTGTACGACGGTGGTGCGTTGCTCGCCTCTCTCGGACGCGAATCCTTGCTACGTTTAAATATTCTTTATTGCGACGATTCGCGTCACTATTGCCCGATTTTAAATTTAAGAGCGGCGGCGGGGAGAAAGGGATACTGCATTCCTTGCAACCTGCCTTATCGTCCCGAACAAGGAGTTCATCGATGCTCGCATAAATGTCCGCGTTGTCGCGGTGTGCCGTCGTGCGAAACAAAAGAAGTAGAATTAATTCGATGCGAGCAATGTAAGAGAATGTTTTTCGGGCGCGAGTGTTTCAAGCGTCACCGAGCCGAAAAATCGTACGGAGACGGTCGCGTGAGCGTGTGCAGCGCGTTGCAATTTTGTGACGATTGCGGGCGTTTGTACAGAATAGCGGGTGCGAGGCACGAATGCGGCGTCGTGTTTTGTAACATTTGCAGTTTGCGTCAAGATGTAAACCATCTTTGTTATATTCGACCTTTTACACGCGAGGATTTCACCGGCAAAGGGAAAAACGCACGCGTCGCATTCGTGTTCTACGATTTCGAGACCCGACATGATGAGATGCTCGAAGGTACAGCGTCTGTGAAAATTCACGTGCCCATTCTTTGCGTCGCACAGCAGATTTGCGTCGCGTGTGCGAGCGAGGACGACATGATGGTACGTTACCGGTGGTACGGTGTGCGCGAATTCGTTTTCTGCGATGATCCGATGAGGCAATTCGTCGATTTCGTTACGAAAACGACGAAATGTTTCAAGCAGATTATCTGCATCCTGCACAACGCCAAGGCGTTCGACGCGCAGTTCATCCTTCGTTACATCACGGAAAAACATGTCGATTTGGATCCACGAGTAATATTAAACGGGACGAAGATCGTCGTATTAACGGCCAGGCGTACGAAATTAATTGACAGTATCAACTATATGCCAATGCGTTTGTCAGCTCTGCCAAAGGCTTTCGGTTTGCGGGGTGGGGTGGAAAAAGGATATTTTCCGCATTTATTTAACACACTCGCGAATCAGTCGTACGTCGGTCCGTTACCA